AGACTGCTTTGTAGCTATGCTTCTTGGCATAACCCAATCATTTGTGCTTAAGGTTTAGAAACCAGTACATTGTGTTCTAGCATAGTAAAGAACTGACTGGTGAGTGTTCTTTTACCCGGCTAAATAATTAAAAAAATATTTCTAAAGCCTTTAGAGAAGGAAGAAACAAGTCATGTTGAAGAACTACAGTCTGAAGAAACTGCTATTTCTGATTTCTCTACTGGGGAGAATGTTGGACCACTTGCTTTACCAGTTGGGAGAGCAAGGTAAGTTTTTCTTAGTGTCAAGCTGGGAGGAGGGCTGGAGGCTGGGATTTAAAGTGTTCTTACAAACATTGTGGAAAAAAAAGTCTATATCTAATCCAGATCCCTCCTCCTCCCTCTCCCTCTCCCTCTCCCTCTCCCTCACCCTCACCCTTCCCCTCACCCTCACCCTAGATGTGTATACCCAGCTCTGCATGGATAGCTTTAGTTGAATATCCCATAGGTATCCCAAGCGTGACCAAGAAGACTGTGTTGTCATCCGCTTCTCCACTCCCATATACCGTTTATTGTTGTTGCTTCTCAATTTCTTTGTATTTGGTACCCCTACAGTCTTTTTTCCTTGCTGCTGCCAGAGTGATTTTTTTTTTTTTAATTCTTTTTGATGTTTATTTATTTTTTTGAGAGAGGCAGAGTGTGAGCGGGGCGGCAGGGGGCAGAGAGAGAGAGAGAGGGAGACACAGAATTTGAAACAGGCTCCAGGCTCTGAGCTGTCAGACATGGGGCTTGAACCCACGGATGGTGAGATCATGACCTGAGCCGAAGCTGGATGCTTAATCGACTGAGCCACCCAGGCGCCCCCAGAGTGATCTCTATAAATCCCTGAAGGCCTGATCATGTTGTTTCCTAGCTTAAAAATCCTTCAGTGGTTCTCCTTGCCTCATGATAAGATCCAGATTTCTTATGAATAGAAGCCTTCATTGTAGAGTCCGGTGGCCCTCTTCCCGGCTGCCATGCTCAGTGGGCATTTGGAAATATGCAGGGGCACTTTTTGGTTGTTACAGTGACTAAGGCGAGCAATTGGCCTGGGCAATGTTCAGTAAACATCCTGCAGTGCATGGGGTTCTGCACAAGGAGGAATCCTCCCACCCAGACGCCAGTAGTACCCCTGTTAGAACCCCTGCTGCCCCTGTCTGCCTTGCCAGCCTCACTTTCTGCCTCCCCACTGTGCAGTTCTCCCTGGCCTCTCTCACCTCCAGAACCAAAGTGTTTGCCAGGAAGGAGTTCTGGAGGATAGACTCATATAAATAATAACATTAGACAGTAAGGACTATAACAGTATTCACAAAGTGATTCTTTTTCAGGGTGGTTTTTTGTTTTGCTGTGTTGAAGCTTTTAACATTTTTATGTGGTTAAATCGATCAGTCCTTTATGGCTTCTGGATTTCAAGTCATATTTGGCCTTTTTTCTTTTCTCCCCCCACAACTTAAATATTATTTGTATTGTTTTTCTCTGTCCGGTGTTTGTTTGGATTTATCCACATGCTTATCATTGCTTTGCTTTGCATTACAGACCTTCCTTTTGGAATTACTGTATTTGCTTTTTGAAGTACAGTCCCTTAGAAATTCTGTTGTTGAACATCTGTTGGTAATAAATTAAGTTTTCATCTCTTTGAAAATTTTAAGACATGTTTTTTGGTACCTTTTAATTTTGATACACTTTCAAATTTAGAGAAATGTTGAAAGAGTAGCGCAGGAACTTCTCTATACCCTTAACTCCGATTCACCGGTTAAACTTTGCTGCATCCGCTTTGTCTTTCTCTCTCTTATTCCGCCTCCTATTCTTCCCCCACTCTGCCACCTTTATAAGGTACTCATATCACCCGCACACATTTTTAAAAACATTTATTTTGAGAGAGAGAGCGTGTGCCTGCATCAGCGGGGGAGGGGCAGAGAGAGGGGGAGAGAGAATCCCGCACTGTCAGCGCAGAGCCTGACTTGGACGCGATCTCACGAAACTGTGAGCTCATGACCTGAGCCAGAATCAAAAGTCAGACGCTTGACTGAATGAGCCACCCAGGCACCCCTATCTATAGTGAAGTATTTAGAGGTAAAGGAACACTGTCTCCAACGTACTGTCGATATTTCATTAAAAAATGTGTGTGGGGGCGCCTGGGTGGCTCAGTCAGTTAAGTGTCTGTCTCTTGATTTTGGCTCAGATCATGATCTCATGAGTTGGTGAGATTGAGTCCCAAGTCAGGTTCTATGGGATTCTCCCTCCCTCTCTCTGCCCCTCCCCTGCTTGTGCATGTGTTTCTTCTTTGTCTCTCTCAAAATAAACATTTAAATAAATAAATACTTCACTAGGTATTTGCTAAGAACAATTATATTCTCTTATGTAACCACAGAACAATGATCAAAATCTGGAAGTTTAACACTGTTATGGTGCTGTTACCTAATTCACAGTCTATTCAATTTTCCTTAAGTGTTCAGTGACCAATGACCTCAAGCATCTTTTCATGTGCTGATTGACTCCTTTTTTGCCCCAGCTTTATTGAGGTGTAATTAACATAGCCTACCTATTTCGTCTATTTCTTTTGTTTAATCTCACAGCCTGCTTTCACTCCTACTGAACCTCTACCCTTACCGAATTGGATTCCCCATTGGTAGAAGTTATGATCCTGTCACATTCTTGTCACTTCCTGCTGTGTGCATCTTGATCTGCCTGGTGTGCCCTTCTCCCACTTCTTCACTGGGTGAATTGTTTATGTATTTTGCCACTTAATTTCCGGGTTTTTGTTTCTGGGATACTGGGGTATTGGAATTTATAATCAGAAACATATCTGGTCTTTGTCCACGGTTCCTGGCAAGGAGTCCCTAAAACCCTTGTAATTTCTTAAGTGGGAAGAAAGAGAGGTGTCTTCTGTGATGTTAATGAGATGGCTTTTGGAAAGTCCCTAAGTAACCGGTTTGGAGGTTGCTAGGGGAACCAACCCAGCGATTTTGAGGGTTAGAATATTTAGCCCCACCCCTACCTTCAGAGAAGGGAGAAAGGCTGGAGGCTGAGTTCAGTCACCAGTGGCTGGTGATGGATCAGTTCATGTCTGTATGATGAAGGCTCCATAAAAACCCAAAAGGAGAGTGTGTGGTGAGCCTCTGGGTTGGTGAACAGGTAGAGATTTGGGGAGAGTGGCTCACTGAGAAAGGGCATGGGTGCTCCACACCTTTCCGCATACCTTGCCCTGTGCCTCTCCCATCTGTCTGCTCCTGAGCTCTATCCTTTTATAATAAACCAGTGATCTAGCAAGTAAAATGTTTTTCTGAGTTCTGTGAGCTGCTCTAGCAAATTAATCGAACCCAAAGAGGAGGTTGTTAGAACGTCTGGTTCACAGCTGGCCCTTCAGAAGCACAGGTGTCAACCTGGACTTGCATTTGGCATCTAAAAATAGGGGGTGGAGCCAGTCTTTTAGGACTGAGCCTTAATCTGTGGGATCTGATGCTGTCTCTGGGTAGATAGTGTCAGAATTGAGTTGAATTGTAGGATACCTGGCTGGTGTTAGAATTACTTGGTATGAGGAAAACTCCCACATAATACAGTTGGTGCAGAATCCTGGTGATCAGAAGTAGGATCAGTGTCACAATCGTAGATACCCTTCGTAGTATCTTTGAAAAAGAAAAGTTGACTGGTCGGCAGTCACTATAATTTATTCTTCGTACTCTTGTTTTCAAGGCAGTTAATTGGACTTTACACTATGGCTCACAATCCTAATATGACCCACTTGAAGACTAATCATCCAGTTACTGCCCTTCCTGCCCTGTGGGTGAGGTGTGACAGTTCAGTTCCTGAAGGGACCTGTTGGCTGGGAGCTGAGCTTGTCACCACAAATGACAACATTACAGGAATTGTCTTATATACGGTCAGTTGTAAAGGTGAGAGCTCACTCTTCTTACTTTTGTGGGGTGTATTTATTTGTGTCGTTATTGTGCTGTGATTTGTACTGAAAACTGAAATTGTTAAGAGGGGAAGTGTACACGATGGAACTTGTCAGCCACCATGGACCTACTCTGGTGTGTAACTTGGGGCATACAGGAGATACTCCAGAAACAGATCTCCAAAAATCTGAACAGAAGTTTATGGTTTTGTTTACTAGTTTTATTTGGGTTTCATTTGATTTATATGTGTGTATTTTGGGGAATTTTCATTGGAAGATAAAAAAAATTGAATGTAATGACAATATAATTCTGATCTCATAGTAGATGTTTAATTATACTTTTGGTAGAGGCATTGTTACTGAACCCTAAAGTCCGATTTGTGTGTTCAATCTGCAGTAAACCTAATCCCTGAGTCACTGGGTTTGAGGCTGAGAAAGTTTTATTCTCAGAAGGGCAGCCCATTGAGAGGGCTGGGGAGTAATCCCCAAACTGCCTTCCTGACTGAGATTAGAGCAAGTTTTTTATAATCATAGGAGTTGAGATCGCATACTTACTGAGGAAAAGGATGGGGGAAGCTTGTGACTATGCTTGGGGAAAGATGGAGCGTGCACATTGAACAAACGTATGTAATGTCTATCCCACGTTCCCTTTGGAGTGGAGATTAACCCCAGAACAAGGCATGATTCAGTCACTGATGCCAGGAGGTTATCTTAGGACAAGGAGAAGAAGCTATGGGTATGCTTCAAGAGCCTGTACAAATTGGATAATGGCGTCTGGGGCTCGTTACCTTAGGTAAGGGGTGCAGAGCCTTGCTTTTTCATTGGCTGGAGCCGTTTCCGTTGACCCTGAGTCCAGGTTTCTAGAGAGACATCTAGTAGATTTATTAGTGGGATCTGAAAAGACACAATAGCTGATTAGAGAGAAACAGGTCTCTGAAAAACAAGCTTTAAATTTTCTGCTGTTTCAACTTCATTTACTGTATGGGGCATGGTTTCAGTATTGGCCTTTGCTCCACTTTTCTTCCCCCCTCCCTTTTTTTAAAATGTTTATTTATTTATTTAGAGAGAGAAGAATGTATGCACAAGTGGGGGGTAGGTGGGCAGAGAGAGAGGGAGAGAGAATCCCAAACAGGCTTCCTGCTGTCAGCATAGAGCCCAGCTTGACTCGGGGCTCCATTTCACGAACTGGACCATGAGATCGTGACCTGAGCCAAAATCAAGAGTTGGATGCTTAACCGACTGAGCCACGCAGGCATCCCCCCCCGCTCCCCCCCCCCCCCGCAACTTTCCTCCTTCTGTCAACATTTCATCTGAGGATTTATTTAATTTTAACAATTACTAGTGTTAAGTCGTGGTGCCCTTAGAATTTGAGGGATCCTAGTTTTTTTAGCTCTAACCATAGAATTTTGAATTGTACCTTTAAAATGATGTTTCCTTTTATGTCTTATAGCTGATAAAAATTATTCTGTAAATCTTGAAGACCTAAAAAGTTCACATAAGAAAAGACATCACTTGTCTACTGTAAGTATTTCTCTTCTGCTCACGTTATTTTCTTCAAACTGTTACGGATGTGCCTCCCTTGCTTAATGCTTTTTTCACTCCTAATAGGACTAGATGTGTTTTTTTTATAGTATCAAAATGTTTGTGTTTATTTTCATATTGGCTAGTGACTAAAAGTAGATGCCTTCTTGCTTTTTAGCCAGTCTCTGTGATGAAAAAGAATGGTTTTATTTTTCCATTTGGGATAAAATTGTAGTGCTTTTTCTTTTGCTGGGAAAAGAACCAAGGTAGTTTTGATAATGGGCCTCTGGCCATGTGAAAGCATGGCTAACAGTGGGTTGGGTTGGCTGGATATACTTTTTTCAGGTAACAGCCAGGGGCTTTGCCCAGTATGAGCTGTTTAAGTCCACGGCCTTGGACGACACACTTGCCGCATCACAGACTACGATCACTTTGGATATTTCCTGGAGTCCCGTGGATGAGATTCTTCAAACCCCTCCACTTTCCTCAACTGCAACCCTGGTAGGAGCAAACTTTATTTTATGTTGAGTTTATTCAGTGTGAATTTACTCTTCGCTTGCTTGTTGCTGGTGCTGCATGCTGCCAGCGCCAGCCCTAGCCCTCGCCGGACAGCTCTGAGGCCCACCTCACCCCTGAGGTCTCACCAGGGCAGTGGATGGAGGTTTTGCCGGGCGATCTGATCTGTCAGTTGCCCACAGTGCTGCAGTTATGTAACTTAAGAGTTTTCTAGTGATTAATAAAGTCTCTTGAGTTGGGACCCGAGTGAAATGATCAAAATGACTTATCTCTCCTGTTCTTAAAAGATTGCAGATACTGGCAATACAGTAACTTGCATTAAAATTTGTATTTTCATAAAAGTGTTTGCTAGTATCATTATTATTTAGTTTGTGTTTAAAATTTGTTCCAGTTGTTATGTATCCGTTAGATACGCTTAGCAATTTGGGCTGTTTGTTAGGCCTTTTCGCTTTATATTTATATTTCCAGGCATCTGACTTAAGTTAATCGGAATTGCTGGCAAAAAAATTTATGTACAAAGATAGTTTCATATCGTGATAATAAGCGTGTTTCTAAAATATTAAAAACAAACCTGAATGTTCAATAGGGAAATGATTAAAGTAGATTTCCCTAATGAAATATTGTGTATTCTTTAAAAATCATGATGTAAAATGTCTTTAATAATAACAGGAAATTCTTATTAGGCAGAAAAAAGGAAGATGTACAAAACAATGTATACAGTAGGATCTCAACTATGTTTTAAAAAACTGTGTACACGGAAGCCTGGATGGGGTTAATTGTTATTCCCCCAGAGTGGCGGGATTATGGATAATTATGTTCTTAATGCTTTTCTCTTCTGGCTAAGACAGCACACTGTTGGTTTAGTTAGGAGTCTACTGAACATATTTATTAGGGGGCGGTTATTTTTGGTACGTGGAAATGAATGCTAAGTTTGTCATTGGGTCTTAAGATGTATTTGTTTACATTTCTCCCACGTGTCTTTTGGAAATTCAGTGGGAAAGGGCAGGAGAGCAGATGTTCCACATAGGTAGGATGGCGGAGTCGAGAGGGGGTGGTGGCATGAGTTTAGGTTACTGTATCGGGATGGACAGGATCTATGGTGTCTCTGGGTATGATATTCTAAGTGCAGTATTACCCTGCTTACGTTCATTAGTGCTTTAGGAAATACATGTTTTAATGTGTGGGGAATTTGAAACGCAAGTAACTGTGACCCTTATGCAGAAAAGATGGGATTTCCAGTGAAAACTGACTTTGGGAACTTTTTAGAATATTAAAGTGGAATCGGGAGAGCCCAGAGGTCCTTTGAATCATCTCCAGAGAGAAGTGAAATTTCTCCTTGTGAGTATCCTACTGGAATTTGTAACTTGCATTAAATTTTACATTTTCATGAAAGTGTTTGCTAGTATCATTATTATTTAGTTTGTGTTCAAAATTTGTTCCAGTTGTTATGTATTCATTAGATATGCTCGGCAATTTGGGCTGTCTGATTTTACTGTGTGGTAGTTGTCCTTTACGGGTATCCTTTGTTAGATAGTTTATAGCTGCTCTTCTTCCACCTTTTTATGAGAGTATTTGGTTTCTATTCTTACAATGGATTCCCCTCTTTTAGGTGGATCAGCTGCCAATTTATGCCAAATGCGTGTATAATCTGCTTGTTAATAACTGGGATTTTGATTCATGCTAAAGATTAAGGAGCATGTGTTTCAAGAACTTTATGTTTTGTTGAGTTTTACTCCATTCTACAAATTGACTCTCAAGAAGTTGTCCTGCCTACTTCTTTTCTTTGTAAGCTTTATTGAGATATAAGTTATATCCCATAAAATCCGCTTGTTTTAAGTATACAATTCAGTGGTTTTTAGTATACTTACAGAGTTGTACAACCGTGGCCATATATAATTTTAGAGCATTTTTATCACCCTAAAAAGAAACCCTGTGCTGATTAGCAGTCACCTCCCACCCTCACCAGCCCTAGCAGCCAGTAATCTACTATTGTGTAGTACTCTGTTCTTTTCATTGCCAAATAGCATTCTATTATATAGATATACCACATTTTGTGAATCCATTCATCAGCTGATAGGCATTTCGATTGTTGTTACTTTTTGACTATTATGAATACTGCCATGAGCAGTCTAGAGCAAGTTTTATGGGACATATGTTTTCATATCTTCTGAATGGAGTTGCCGGGTCATTGTGGTAACTATGTTTAAGCTTTGGAGGAGCTGTCAAACCATAACCGTTTTCCAAAGTGGCTGTACAGTTTTACATTCCTACCGGCAGTGTCCGTTCCAGTTTTTCTGTATCCTTGCCAACGCTTCGTGTGGTCTTATCATTATCAGAGCCATCCTAGTGGGGATGAAATGGTATCTCATTATGGTTTTGGTTTGCATTTCCCTGATGGCTACTGGCTTTGAAGAATCTTTTCCTGTTCTTTTTGGCTCTTACTTTTTTAGTTTAACCTCACACCCTACTTTTCCCACTGACCACCCCCCCTCCCCCCGCCGCCCCCGACCCTGGCCCGTTTACAGTACCTTGGTCCTGTCACTCTGTCACTTTGTGGTGAGTGTGTCTTGACCTGTGTAGTGTGCCCTTCTCCCACCCGTGTGCTGGGCGAGCTGTCTGTGACATCGTCACCAGGATGACCGCACTGCTCCCTCAGAATGGCGCGTGTTGCCTCTGCTTTGTGCTGCCAGAGCACTTCACACACACCGCTTGTCGGGTGTTTATCAACCCCGCTTGTCTGTTTACTTCTCTGTCTCCCCTCCTACACTTGAGTGCCAGGTACTCTGTGTCCTCGATATCTGGCATGGTACCACGCATACATGGTACCTTTATCTCTGGTTATTATTTCCCTTTTTGTACAAAACTCGGTACCTTTCTTTCTGGAAAGAATCCTTTCTCAGGATCCTTCCTGTGGCCTTCCATCATATTTCTCTCCACATGTCTCTGCCCTCCTCTCCCCACACACTGGCAGAGAGCTCGTCAATTGAGTGGTTTGACTAATACCTTTATGACGGAACTCCAGACTCTCTTTTTCTTTTTCAATTATTTTTTTAACGTTTATTTATTCTTGAGAGGCAAAGAGAGCACAAATGGGGGAGGAGCAGAGGGAGAGGGAGACAGAGAATTCGAAGCAGGCTGTCAGCACAGAGCCCGACGCAGGGCTCGAACCCATAAGCCGTGAGATCATGACCTGAGCTGAAGTTGGACGCTTAACTGACTGAGCCACCCAGATGCCCCCAGACTCTCTTCTTTTCTTTAAGCTGATACTGGTCCACTGCTGTTGCTCTCAAACTCCGTATTTCCAAAAGGAAACTTGAGATCTTCTCCAGACTAGATCTCCCTCAGAGAACCCCCCATTTCTGGCTGTGGTTCTCCCATTCCTTCAATTTTCCAGGCTAGAAACCTTATATTTTAGTTTAGTGAGAGCTATTTTTACCGCTACCGCTTAACTACCACAACTAGAAGCTGCCACTGTGTGCCATCCATGTGGTGCTAGATGGTTCAGTTACTTTGCTTGAGACATCAGTAGTTGGTTTGTGGAAGACCTGATTCAAAGACATGTCTGTCTGTCTTTCTGTCTGACTTGCAAGTCCATGTTTTGTTATAACCTCCCTTATAACTTCGCAGGATCTTAGATGTGCACATGACCACAGTCTCTCCAAGTTCAATGCCTTGTATTTTTGTAAATAGATAGGATTTTTTCTTTTATTTTTTCCTCATCTCCTTCCCTCTCTCCCTCCCTCCCTCCCTCCCTCTCTAATAAACTGTTCTTTTTTCGCCTTTAAGCTTTTTGTCACTGCCCATCTTAGTTAAGGCCCTTATCACCTCCTTCCTGGACCAGTCTAAAGGTCATTCATTGTTTCTCAACAGGGACACTGGTGGTGTTTTAGGCAGAATCATTCTTCGTGGTTTGGGAACACAAGGATGCTAACAACCTTGGCCCCTACCAGACTAAATGCTCAAAGTGCCCCGGTACCTCCAGTCACTGTGACACCAAAAATTACCTGCAAATTTTTCCAAAGATCCCCTGGGGGGTGGAAAATGATATCACTTCTATTGAGAAACGTTGTACTTCCTTTTTTTTTTAGAATCCATCTTGGGTATTTCTGACATGAATTCTTAACTACTTGGTCATGTCATTTTCCTACCAAACAATCAACAATGGCTGTTGTCTTTCATATGAAATAATCTTTTCATGTTTTTGTTTCCTTTTTTTAAAGATTTTATTTTTAAGTAATCTCTATAACCAATGTGGGGCTTGAACTCAAGACCCTGAGATCAAGGGTCACATGTTCTTCTGACTGAGCCAGACAGGTGCCCCCCAAAATCTTTCCAGGTTTTAAGATCTGTATTTCTGTATAGCCCCTGTTCCTTCTGATCTCATTTCCCACCGTTCCCTGCATGTTTTCTCCACCACAGCTGGACTCCACCCCACCCTCTTCATCTTCTTCCGTGCTCCTTCCCTTCTCTACAGCTCACAGTTCCCACATTTGAGTTCAGCTGATGTTTCACGTTGTTCCCGTGGTGATTCCAGCCTATGTTGACCCCCTTTCCTTTGGTTTAGATAATGTATGTATAGGCATATACATTTATATTATTTTTATATAAACTTCCATTCAGTTTCACATTTGTTGTTCCCTGATTATTGCACCGGGATTATCGGTCCTTTTTTTTTTTTAATGTTTATTTTTGAGACAGAGAGAGAGCAAGCGAGGGAGGGGCAGAGAGAGAGGGAGACCCAGAATCCGAGGCAGGCTCCAGCCCCTGAGCTGTCAGCACAGAGCCTGACGCGGGGCTCGAACTCACGAACCGTGAAATCATGACCTGAGCCGAAGTCGGACACTTAACCGACTGAGCCACCCAGGTGCCCTGTTGGTCATTTTTAACCAAAGTTAAAAGCATCTTCAGGGTAGGCTCATTACTCTGGAATCCTCAGCATCTATACACATGGCATCATCGTTAGAACACCGTGTTTTGTATCGGATTACTGGGTATATGTCCTTGCACTGTCAGTAATGTGTGACCTTGAGCAAGTTACTTCACCTCTGGTCTCAGGAAAAGGGATGATGGTAATATCTGCCTGATGGGGTTTTTGTGAGGATTACGTACCATACTACATATAAAACTCTTAGAACTATTCCTGGCTTGTGGTTAGTCATTCAAAAAATTTTATGATGACCAATATTATGAAATATATTCCTACTGATTAAATTATGTTTTTTGCTAAAAAATTTTGTGTTTCTTTTTTTTTTTAATCTCCCATAGGTCTTGGCTGATGGTTTGAGGACGGGTGTAAGCGAATGGCCTGAGCCTCTGGAAGTAAAGTCTGCTGTTGATCTTGTGCAGGAATTTCTGAATGGTCTTTGTTTTCCTAACTCATGCTCTCTTTATACTGTTTATTTTTCTTAGTTGCGAATTTATACTTTCTAAATTCAAAAATAAGTTGTCTTTTTAGGCGTGGTATTCCTTTTGGTTGGGATATATATGAAGCTGTGAGGTCTGTCATGGTCAGAGGGACAGATGTGTTCTGAATTACTAGTAGTAGAGGTCTAAGTAAATTTAAGAATTAATATTGAATTTAAATTTTATATATCACAGCTGTATTCGAGATTGTATGAAAAGAGGGATGGAAGAGAAACCTTTGAGCACCTACCATGTGCCCAGCAATGTGTGTCAGGGGCTTTCACTGTATCTCAGAACACCCCCACACCCCTACCAGTTGGGTATCTATCATAACCTCCATTAGAGAGTTAAGTAATTTGCTAAAATCCCTGGTTGTATTTCTGCTGTCCTCATTTACCATTTGAAGGTAGGATTAGGATGGAAATAATTTAGAAAGCAGAAAGATAAAATCTAGAGTTAATAAGCTTTTGCTACTTTTCTAGACTTAAATAAGCTGGATGGATTTGGTGATTCTACAAAAAAAGACACAGAGGTAAGCAATCCTTATCAGTTAGCAACATACACTGAAACAGCTTTTACGATTTGGTTGTACTGTTACCCTTCATGTCCTACCATTTCAAATGGATCTGGTACAGCAAAGGCAGTGTTTTGAGGGTAGTTTTTTTCTTGGTCTTTAAAGTCAGCACTGGTGATTGTTTTCCTTAAGAACTAATAAATGCTTTTGATGAGAACTAATAAGTACATATTATTAGTTGATCAACTGCAGAGAAGCAGAAATGACTCTATGTTAATATGCTATAAGATGGTAATGCCTTTCTTGGTATCATTAAGTTAAGTTAAATAGGTTGTCATTTGATGAACAGGAAAATGGAGACAAATTCATTTAATTAAGTATTTTTGCATAGAAGGAAAGTTGAATGCTTGCTTTAGGCATCACACTTTTAAAACAATTTAAGGGTCCAATTTTTCACGGTCAGTTGATTTGCATCTCCTCATTAGTGAATGAAGTTCTAGAAAATTCACTCACATCTGTGGATCCACATTTTCTCAGAGCATGATTTAAAAGCTCGCTGTCCTTAAACTATTTTTATTTTTGTTTCTTTTTTTTTTTTTTTAAGTCTATTTATTTATTTTGAGTTGGGGGATAGAATTTCAAGCAGGCTCTGTGCTGTCAGCACAGGTCCCGACTCGGGCTTTGATCCCACAAACCATGAGATCATGACCTGAGCTGACATCAAGACTTGGACGCTTAACCAACTGAACCACCCAGGCGCCCCTCTTTTCTTTTTTAATAAACTGAGTCTTCTCTAATGCTTCTTTCTCAGACAGTGAAGCATGACAGTGCTGCAGTTGACCGTACCATCGAGTGTCTTTTCACAGTGCGGGGCGATCTCGATTTTGCTGAGCAGCTGTGGTTCAAAATGAGCAGTAGTATGTGTCTACCATGATTGTAAAATAAAATGTTTCCTGTTCTTTGTTAGGCTTACTTTTTAAGTCTTTGAAAATCATACAATGTGTACTATTAGTCTTGTGTGGAAGCCTGGTTCCTATTTTATCAGATTCATTTCTAATAATGTATTGGCACATTCTACTCAAGAATTGTACTAAGACAAGGCAATTTATAGAGTCCATTTTTCTCCTGCCTTGAGCATAAGATGTAGGTGGTTTTAATGTTATGTTTATATGAACCAAAACATACACCTTAGTGGCATTATAATTATTAGAAAAAGGAAAAGATGTTCCTTAATGTTTCACTGTGTTATTTTGTGACACTGAGTTTACTTTAGAAATGTGTTAAATCTTTCTGTTCGTCTTTATTTTCTTTCCCTTTCCCCCATCCATAAAGTACAGATACTTGTCCTCTACTTACTTGCGTATCCTTAAGATTAATGATGTATTTGATCTGCAGAAATACCATGAAAGTAATGTTGGACTGACTTGTTTTCCAAGGTGTGATTTCTTATCAAGACTTGGTGAAGTGTTTCACGCTGATCATCCAGAGTCTACAACGTGGTGATATACAACCATGGGTAGGTTTAGTAGTGTGCGTTAGAACCCTTTTTCAGCAGCTGAGCATGAAGGTTAAGGCATAGGCTTGGGAACAGACTGCCTGAGTTTAATTCCAGCCCTGCTGCTTTCTTAGCTGTGTAAACTTGGGCAGGTGTCTTTAGGTCTCTGTGCCCCAGTTTCCTCATCTGTAAAGTAGGAGGAGGAAGAGTATCTACCTCGTGGTG